ATTGTTTGCCTTTTTTTTTTTTTTTTTGAAAAAGTGTTCATATAAACTCATTTTCTTTAATAAGTTTATCAAACAGTCGTGGAGAAGTACTTTTAAAGAAAATTCGAATCTGAGTTGTCACTTCTTGTCAAAAGAGATGATTATTCTTTGAAGATAAGTGATGTAGATATTAATTTGGCGAATCTTTTATTGGATCTTGGACTATGACATCAAATTATGGATTATAATTCTCATGATCGAGATCAAATGAGCAGTCAGATTAGTTCAAGGATCCAAGCAACAACTTCAAATGATGAGAGAAAATGGTTGGAGCTATTTTCTTGATGATGTCTCTATTTTTTTGTGAAAACCCGAGATAGTTGTTTCAAATATAAATAATATCTTTAAATCTTGAGGGAGGTTAAGGCGTACTCAAGAAGCAACAAATTTGCAACATTATCGAGTCGAGTTAATTTATGCCGTCACAAATGTGCCACTTCAAGAGCTAAAAAACCACTTTACCGAGTCAAACACTAAGTTGCTTCTTTGTGTGGCATGTTTGAGTCTTTTTGATTCATTCCTACTTTTGACAATAAGAAATTGGTGAGTCTTACTCAATTTTATCCAAAAGAATTTTCACCATTAGAGCTCATAATCCTTTTTAATCAATTAGATAGTTTTGTAATATGTTATTGATATACATTCTAGTATTGAGTTTTCAAATTTGTTAAGGATTGAATATCTTGCTCAAAAAATAGTTTAGACAAAAAAAAACGTGATTTATCCACTGGTCTACATGTCACTTTGGCATTGATCTTGCGACTGCCACAGGAGAGAAAATTTCCAGCTTTGAAGATTGTGAAAAATCGATTATATACTCAAATGAGTGATTAATGAATGATAGACAGTTTGATTGTGTACATAGACAAGGACATTTTTAATTGTATTGATAATGAATTTATCATACAATGCTTGTAAAATATCACAACTCGTCAAGTTCAATTGTAAATAGCTATACTCAATCTCATATCGTTGTAAAGGAGTTGAATTAGTACCCTGTTTGTAGATTTTTTTTTTTTTTTTGTTTCTATACCCCATCGGCTTTTCACTATTTTTTGTTCATGAAATTTCAAATATTATATAAGATTTATCAAATTTATGTGTCATTTACTTTAATCAGTAAGAAATAAAAAATTAAAAACTTATAATTAGTGTCCACCCACATAAATTCCTAACTCTGCCCTTGGTATTCAAAATTGTTTTCGTCAATGCAATATGCAAACAAGTTAAAGATTTCATTGTATTTTGAAGACGGAATTCCCAATCAAACCTTATTCAATTGGATGGGGGTAAATATTAGTTTTAGGAAAGTGTTTCTATTTGACTTGAAAGCATTTCAGATTTTTAGTTTTGGCGATGCAGTTTCGTTCTACACCAATAAGAAGTAGATTTTTATCAACAAACCACCCTCATTATATAGAAGACCTATAAGTGTGAAGAAGACCAAAACACCCTACAAGTATGACATTGGCATTAGAATAATGAATGAAAATGGGGTTTGTTTTGGCATTCCGTTGTAGTGTCATCATCAATTATAACACAAAAAACTACACAAGTGTTGGAAGATATATCCTTTAACATGGGTTTGATGAGGTAGTATCATTATTACAACTAGACCCCTACAGAAAAATGACTTTATCAACTTGTGAACCTTGTGCTGCCTGTCCGACTAGCCCCCACCTCCGGCTGTATCGGTTTTTACAAAACCCACAAATAAAATCTCAAATCAGCAACTTAATAAAGACTTGTGTCTGCTATTTGAGGAAAGCCCGAGAACACATATTTCAGAAATAATGGCATTATTGACACAGGCCATCATGCTGCAAGATAAAAAATACATATATACCAAGCAATAAAAACCAGAAACATCAAAATGCAAAATATGGCACTTGCCACCACGCTACAAGATAGGAAACAAGGATCAAAATATCGTTTCTGTGCATTATTTCAGCTAGCTCGGAAACAAAAACAATTAGATGTTTTGGAAACATAATGAAAAGGGAAAAAATCGAAGTGTTGATTTCCAAATAATTGACAAAATTCTCCGAAACATCTAGGAACAAACATAGAAATTTCAATTTTCCATCACTATTTTATTTCGATGAAAGCAAAACAAAGTTTGGATCCTTAATCACAAACAGATAGGACGATTCGATAACGTCATTGTTAAGTTGCACGAGACTACCGATGAACCCACCCTGGTCTTATGGCTGCTGCCTTCAATGGATGGCTCTAGCTTCTAGCGGCTGGGCTGATCATCTGACTAGTATATAACTATTCAATGTATAACATGATACATCAACAAGCACACACCATTGATAGTCTAAGCACAAACACTAACCTTCAAATGCTAGTCTTTATGGCTGCACCAAGGCAAGAAGATATGTAGTTAGGTCCCAAAGGAACTCAAGCTACTTTCGAAGGAACTGTAACTTCTGAAAGTGTACCAGAACATTCTTCATGCTCCATCTCAGATCTAATTCTATTTCAACCGAGCACATGAGAGTCCAAAGGATGTAGATTAATTTTACTAAAAGGACAGAGGACAGACAGAGTGGTTAGCGCTGGAAAGCAAAATCTTTTTTTTCTTTTATATCTTGCAACCTTAACATCCCCTTTTCAATCAAAAAATAATCATCAATGAATTTGTTAGTACAGAAATATATCTTGGTCAGAAATTATGTCGTCAATGATGAAGCAGTTTATGCAAAATATTGATCGGAAAATACATGGGTAAGCATCACAAACCACGCCGGAGCACGCCATTTATTTACTCAATAAGCTTTAGAAAATGATATCTAAAGCTTTAGAAAAAGTAATGATATCTAAAACTTACTAAATAAAAAAGTAAGTTAAGTAGCTTTAGAAAATGATATCACCTTCCGATACAGGACCAGATAGATAAGCGAGTTTTAGAGGAAGGAATTCGAAGAGAAGGAGAAAAAGAAACAACAGACCGAGATCTAAGAAGAAGGGAAAAACACTGATCAATAGAAGAACGTGAGGAAGCGAGAATTTNAAAGAAACAACAGACCGAGATCTAAGAAGAAGGGAAAAACACTGATCAATAGAAGAACGTGAGGAAGCGAGAATTTCCCATTTCAAATTCAACTCAATAATGCCAGAACTAATCATTCNCCTGCCTGTCCGACTAGCCCCCACCTCCGGCTGTATCGGTTTTTACAAAACCCACAAATAAAATCTCAAATCAGCAACTTAATAAAGACTTGTGTCTGCTATTTGAGGAAAGCCCGAGAACACATATTTCAGAAATAATGGCATTATTGACACAGGCCATCATGCTGCAAGATAAAAAATACATATATACCAAGCAATAAAAACCAGAAACATCAAAATGCAAAATATGGCACTTGCCACCACGCTACAAGATAGGAAACAAGGATCAAAATATCGTTTCTGTGCATTATTTCAGCTAGCTCGGAAACAAAAACAATTAGATGTTTTGGAAACATAATGAAAAGGGAAAAAATCGAAGTGTTGATTTCCAAATAATTGACAAAATTCTCCGAAACATCTAGGAACAAACATAGAAATTTCAATTTTCCATCACTATTTTATTTCGATGAAAGCAAAACAAAGTTTGGATCCTTAATCACAAACAGATAGGACGATTCGATAANTTTTCCATCACTATTTTATTTCGATGAAAGCAAAACAAAGTTTGGATCCTTAATCACAAACAGATAGGACGATTCGATAATGTCATTGTTAAGTTGCACGAGAGTACCGATGAACCCACCCTGGTCTTATGGCTGCTGCCTTCAATGCATGGCTCTAGATTCTAGCGGCTGGGCTGATCATCTGACTAGTATATAACTATTCAATGTATAACATGATACATCAAGCACACACCATTGATAGTCTAAGCACACAAACACTAACCTTCAAATGCTAGTCTTTATGGCTGCACCAAGGCAAGAAGATATGTAGTTAGGTCTCAAAGGAACTCAAGCTACTTTCGAAGGAACTGTAACTTCTGAAAGTGTACCAGAACATTCTTCATGCTCCATCTCAGATCTAATTCTATTTCAACCGAGCACATGAGAGTCCAAAGGATGTAGATTAATTTTACTAAAAGGACAGAGGACAGACAGAGTGGTTAGCGCTGGAAAGCAAAATCTTTTTTTTCTTTTATATCTTGCAACCTTAACATCCCCTTTTTAATCAAAAAATAATCATCAATGAATTTGTTAGTACTGAAATATATCTTGGTCAGAAATTATGTCGTCAATGATGAAGCAGTTTATGCAAAATATTGATCGGAAAATACATGGGTAAGCATCACAAACCACGCCGGAGCACGCCATTTATTTACTCAATAAGCTTTAGAAAATGATATCTAAAGCTTTAGAAAAAGTAATGATATCTAAAACTTACTAAATAAAAAAGTAAGTTAAGTAGCTTTAGAAAATGATATCACCTTCCGATACAGGACCAGATAGATAAGCGAGTTTTAGAGGAAGGAATTCGAAGAGAAGGAGAAAAAGAAACAACAGACCGAGATCTAAGAAGAAGGGAAAAACACTGATCAATAGAAGAACGTGAGGAAGCGAGAATTTCCCATTTCAAATTCAANAGAGAAACAACAGACCGAGATCTAAGAAGAAGGGAAAAACACTGATCAATAGAAGAATGTGATGAAGCGAGAATTTCCCATTTCAAATTCAACTCAATAATGCCAGAACTAATCATTCNTGTGATGAAGCGAGAATTTCCCATTTCAAATTCAACTCAATAATGCCAGAACTAATCATTCTTGTACAACAACTATAATCATAGACAAACACCAAAATGAAAACTACTTGAAAGTAGTATACATGATTTTTAAATACCACATCAAAAAAATTTTAAATTCCTAATTTAAGAAATAAACCCAATAAGTTTTAAACTAAGTAATAATACTAAAATAATTCCTAATTCTAACCTTGAACCCAGGTTTCCTAGGAACCCCTTTATGTTCCCCATCACCTTCACATACTATGAATGAATTATAGGTGAAACAAGGGTCTGAAATTTTCAGAGAAAAGAAAATTTAAACTTGAGAGTGAAGGAAGCAGAAAATAAAGTAGGGAATCTATTCTCATATTCGAGAGGTGTAAGGTTGTTGCCCCTGCAGCTTTGATGCCGGAATAGCAAGCTTACAGAGTTGTTCAAATTTAAAAACACCAACGGCCCTTAAACTAAAGCTGTAAGACATACCATGAAACTCATCATATTTTACAATAATTACCATCTTGTACCTCTTCTCCAACATCAAATCAATGACACGACCAATAGATGTCAAGCTTGTGACGCAAGGAGGTGGGCTTCTCATCATTGTTGAAAGTGGAGCATCCAACTGCACAAATACATAAATTTAAAGAGAGCAAAGCAAGAAGACATCATCGTACATCAACCAATTGCCTTCTATTAGCTTATTGATTATTAAGCAGCCAGGATTTATGCTCGACAAATCAATGGAATTCTCATATCCAAATACAAATAGTGGAAAAGCACGTCTATCCACCCAAAAAAAGGAAAATTTTGAACAAGACAGGAACAGAAGAAAGAAAAGAATTAAAAAAGAAAGACTTATCTCCACCCAATGCATAACTATAAAATATTTTCTTATTGAAACTTGAGAGATATATAATATCAGAGTTCAATACTTCTAATCTTTCGGTGCTGAGATTCACATGTTTGCTGCATCAACAACACTTAGTTTGTAGCTTCAGGTAAACTTTTGATGTGGCTGTTCTAGGCGAGACTAGAAAGAACTGGATTCTCTTGTTTGGATTAACTCCTAGTCCAGAGTCTGTCAGAACCTTATTGACTTTATCTTATGCTCTATTCTCATAGTGTACTGCGGCTGGCCATCTTCATTGATTTGGTCAATCCCCACACTAAAAATCACATTGTTGGGTAAACTTCAATTGCAAAACAACACAAGAATGAGAAGAAGAGAGAAATCTTATTGTTTCTACAGCAGTCTGCTGACAGAGACTCTTTATTGTAGAGAAAAACAATATTAAAAAATGACTAAACTACTCCTAATACTATGTTTGTCCTCTGCTACCTCATTCTTCACGTTTATAGTGCATTGGCTCTTAGTTTGTGTTTCCCGGGAAATTGTCCTGGAAAAGAGATACTTAAAGTCTGAACCCCACCCACCCAGAAACACAGACAGCGTATCCAGAGCAGCTCCAAGCATCACTTACAACTTGAACAAAATCCAAAAAGGTAAAAAATGAAACTTGTTCATTTCCATGCCACGACATGAAAATCTTCACCCCATATCCCAAAACCACCTGAATCAAGGAAACAAACAGACATGGTTCCTATATATGGAAATGTAAAGGACGGAAAAGGTCTGCGCACCCACAATAAAGGCCATTTGGTGAATAATCATTTCACTGATGAGTAGTAATCCTGCATAGTTTGGATCTGTCTCAGATTCGGATACAAGTATTCAGCTAGTTTGACAATTACAGTAAGGGAGAGCCTAAGTGGCAGTTCTCTCTTGGTGCAGCAAACTAAGAAGCACAGACATGTACTGAGCACATAAAGTATATAAATGGATATGCCGACAAAAAAATTTCTAAAAAGGAAAGACGCAAACATGTGAGGACACGGCATCAGATAAATATAAACACATCTATTTGTTCTTCAGTTTATCTATATGTAAATGAAATAATGTAATATGCAAAGGAAATCTTACATATATTGTGTAACACGAAGACTTTTGAGACTTATGAATCATAACAATTAACAACCAACCATGGCGTATAATTGACATGTAGCAAGGATACACAATCCTGATGATTCCTATCATTCTCCATACGCCTTTCAATTGAATTCTTGTGTCTTACTTGTGCGTTTCAAAATATAGCAATTACACTAGAGAATTTCAATTATCTTCACGCTACAAGAATTTCACTTCTCTTCATGCTACAAGAATCGTAGGAGTGTCCAAGAAGTGTCAGGCAAATGTTGAAATGTAGCTTGCATATTGTCTTGGATGCTAAGCCAGAGAGGATGTTTTTACATAAAAAAGTGTGGGCAGTATCGACTACAGAGAATGACTCTAGCCCCTTCTCGCCATTCTGTCAGTATATCTAATAGCTAAAAAAACTATGTTTATGTAGATATCTTCCCCACAGGTTTGGAAAAACATTATGAACAACTATTCTTCATAAATAGTGGGTCAGAAGAACAATAATAAACTTAATTAATGGAAGGAAGTCAAACTTAGACAGTTGAACAGCTTACTGAAGATTAGAAGAAAAGTACCATATTGCAGTCTTCCCGATGTAGTATTCCCACACAGCTTCCCCAGTCATCTATGATGGGCACAACTGAATCTCTGAAGAAACGCAGCACCACTTGCCTCAGGTGCCAGGTAGCTTGTAATGGCTGAGCTTCTTCAAATGGTATCATAATGCACTCAATTGCAGCACTAACTGACACCTAGTTAGAAGGTCGTCAAACAATTCAACAAAGTGGAAGCAAATAGTTCAATTACTTGATAAGGAGGAGTATGACCAGATGCAAAGGAAACAAGCAATAGCACTTAATCATATGCCTCAATCAATAAGATGTTTTATGCCAATTATGTTTAAACTCTGGTTATGACAACTAAAATTTATGTACATTGATTGATTCTAATTTTCTATTCCATGAAACAATTTCACCAATTCATCCTAAGAGGTATATCGGATGATAAGGTAATCAAACCAAGTCAGATTTTTGATACAGGTTACATCCCACCCGAAGCCCAATCATGATAGGAAAACTATCAATTTACACACAAGAATGGCACACTGTTTGTTAGCTGTCACGAGGACATGCCATTTTTCTAAACTGTAGCAATAAACAAATTACATACCCGAGAAAGCATGTAAGGACCAAACATGGAAGCAGTGAGGCTCAGCAATGCCTCGATGCGTACAGCAACCTGCATTCCAATGTGAGAGGTAGATTGTGTAATGTCCGATCAGGATCGCATAAAGGTACTAGAAAGAAATGAAAAAAAGATTTCTCGAACTAAAAATAAAACATATAGGTTCATTTCTAGAGCAATGCACTAAAGGAGGCCTCAACTCATCTTTTTATGGATTCTATAGTAAAAGAACACTTCAAAACTTAATCGTCAGAAAATCNTAGACAGTTGAACAGCTTACTGAAGATTAGAAGAAAAGTACCATATTGCAGTCTTCCCGATGTAGTATTCCCACACAGCTTCCCCAGACATCTATGATGGGCACAACTGAATCTCTGAAGAAACGCAGCACCACTTGCCTCAGGTGCCAGGTAGCTTGTAATGGCTGAGCTTCTTCAAATGGTATCATAATGCACTCAATTGCAGCACTAACTGACACCTAGTTAGAAGGTCGTCAAACAATTCAACAAATTGGAAGCAAATAGTTCAATTACTTGATAAGGAGGAGTATGACCAGATGCAAAGGAAACAAGCAATAACACTTAATCAATTGCCTCAATCAATAAGATGTTTTATGCCAGAGTTAAACATAACTGGTTATGACAACTAAATTTTATGTACATTGATTGATTCTAATTTTCTATTCCATGAAACAATTTCACCAATTCATCCTAAGAGGTATATCAGATGATAAGGTAATCAAACCAAGTCAGATTTTCGATACAGGTTACATCCCACCCGAAGCCCAATCATGATAGGAAAACTACCAATTAACACACAATAATGGCACACTGTTTGTTAGCTGTCACAAGGACATGCCATTTTTCTAAACTGTAACAATAAACAAATTACACACCTGAGAAAGCATGTAAGGACCAAAAATGGATGCAGTGAACCCCAGCAATGCCTCAATGCGTACAGCAACCTGCATGCCAATGTGAGTGATAGGTTGTGTAATGTCGACCAGGATCACATAAAGGGACTAGAAAGAAACGAAAGAAGATTTCTGGAACTAAAAATAAAACATATAGGTTCATTTCTAGAGCAATGCACCAAGGGAGGCCTCAACTCATCTTTATATGGATTCTATAGTAAAAGAACACTTCAAAACTTAATCATTAGAAAATCTATCCTCAGCACAACCAAGAAATTCCTGGAAACAATCCCCCCCCTCCCAAAAAAAACCCCCTGAGCAGCAGTTATTGCTGAAATTTTATATCTCCCATGGGTCACCTGGTATCAACTTATTTTTTTTGGTTTTAGATCGTCTTAAATCCACATATATTTCAAAAATGAACACATACCATTCCTCCTCGACTAGCCCATGATATTCCCTTCCATTTTCTAATAATGTGATATAGATTTTGTACAGCCACATCAACCTGGCAAAAAGAAAAAAACCAAGCCATGGTAGTTAACGTTTTGCAAGTAAAAGCTTTATTTTCCATATGCCAATCATCATGTAGGACAATCTAAAGTTGGTGGAAACTGGAAGCAAGATATCATCAACGTTGTTCCACTAAAATGGGAAAAAATGATATCATAATAGATAATACCCTGTGGAAGGGCATACAAATATATTAGTTCAAGGTGTTTCTTGACTATCTAATTACATAACCACACAGGGTAGATTTGATACCNTAGATAATACCCTGTGGAAGGGCATACAAATATATTAGTTCAAGGTGTTTCTTGACTATCTAATTACATAACCACACAGGGTAGATTTGATACCGATGACAAAAGCACAATGAAAGATAGTGTTTGGAATGTGAGTTTCAAATGGCACAACTTCCCCAATCAGAAAACAGAAATATTCTGAATATCCATAAAACTGACAAAAATTAGGATTATTCCTCAGTAGCCAATGAAGGACTCAACAGGAAGGATAATTTTGGATGGTACAAACTCAAAATTGGTCTGTANTGAATATCCATAAAACTGACAAAAATTAGGATTATTCCTCAGTAGCCAATGAAGGACTCAACAGGAAGGATAATTTTGGATGGTACAAACTCAAAATTGATCTGTAATTGTTTCATTAAACTGTCTTTAAAGAAGACCTCATTGATCTTAATTGCTGTATATCGAATGAAATAGAAGTAAAAATGCAAATGGAAGAGCCCAAGATACCAGCAAAACTCAATCAGCCCATTCTTAACATCAAATGAGGATCACAAGCACATCATGAAGCCCAGTCATAATTGATATTTGCAGAATTCAGTCTAAAGCAAAGGGATTATGCATGTATTTAGGTTCAGATAAAGCTATTAAGGATGCATCTCAGAATCTGAAGAATAATCAAAGAGAGCCTATGCTAGCTGTGATGATAATTAGATTGAATTCACACATGCTCAATATGGCAGATTACATTCTTCACAAATTATGGAATTTCAACAAAAGTTGAAGATTTCGAGAAGCCGAAGATTTTTTGACCTAGTAAAAGAATAAACCGAAGGATTATTTTAGCAACTTAGTTGGATTTATCACAAACAAAGCGAAAGCAAAGATCATAATTGGCAGACCACAGAAGATAGGGAGAACAAGTTTCAGGGGTTTACCAACGCTTAAATAGAGATATAACCACATAAAGAATAGACAATACAAATTCCCCACACCAAAATCATTGCAAAACTAAGAGTCACCATACTGCACTGTGGGAGCCTTTATAAGAAAGAAAATGTGGGCCAAAAATAAAGTTTGTGCATTTGTGTCCCATAGATAAGATTAAGGTCGAAAGATGTGACCTACAGCTATTCCAACCTCATATCTTCACCTGTAGTTTCTGCTTCTCTTCTTTCCTATTTTAACTCATCGAAACTATTGTTATTTTCTTCTTCTGTGTCTTCTTCTCATACTTATTTTTACATCAATAGTGATAAGGAGATGGTCCACTATGAGATTATGCCCTATGCTATCAACTTTATTATAGATCTGCATTAACTAGCATTATAGGTTCAAATATATAACTTTTCTACTAGAGGTTAATGGTCCCATTGATTAGCTAAACGAATAGTTAATCCAAGCAAGATGATAAGTGACCAATTTAACATTGTGAGCTCCTGAAATTGAAAGACCACCCTGGCTTTTGAAGAAATAGACAAACGTAAGCCTCTAACCTGATCCATATTCAAGATTTCACATAATTCTCATTAAAACAGATGCTACACCTGACACTAGTCAGAGAGTTGAGAAAGTTCTATTAATATTTTTATCATTTCCTTTCCGATGATTACTCATTCAACAAGACATCGTACTCAATAAAATCGAGTCCAACCCCTAGAGAATATCTGCCATATGCAATGTGAGGAGCTGGTTGCTCATGAATTGTCAACAGTGATATGTGGCACCAGAGCTCAACCTTTCCAAGCAAGTAGGTCAGATTTCATATGTAATAGTTGTATCCCTATATCGTGAAAATCAAAGGTCAAATAAATTTTGGACTCATGCTACAATCGTTTAAAAGTTATCCCAGTAGGTTATAGACCAAGATCTTTCATAATTGGGCGATGCTCCATGCATCACTAGCCCGGGGTTAAAAAAAAACAAAAGGTCTTTCATAATGAATATTATCTAGTACTTTTGGACTCATAAGGTGTATTGTCTGGCATCTCTACTTGTGTACTACTTTTATCCACCCTTAACAACATTCTACTCCTCCATTTAAGAATATAAACCTTTCAAATTCTTAGGATGGACTTTGGAAGTACCCACACAAGGCTGATCTAGGATAGTTTTGGTTTTCACAGAATTTTCAACTTGTGCGGTGGCAATAGACATCCTTTGGGCAAGGTAAAAAAAGGAAACCCTAGAAGGAAGAGTAGGGACATATATATCGTTATTGAAGAGACCCCAGTGTTCAAGACCATTTTTTGTGGATGAGGTACCTGGCCATGATTTAGAGCTGCCTCCATGAGAAGGTGATCAGCTTCAACTTGAACTTTGGAGGAAATAGTTCCTGCTGAGTCCGGCCACATGCGTTCATGCAGACATTTAACCAGACCATAGTCTCCCTTAACAGCCAAGCCACGCATCAAGGAAAGATAGAGGTGAGGCTTCGGCCGCAAGCCAGGATTTCCACCAGCCTTTTTCAATATCTCCCCAAACATACAGAGAGCACCTAATCACAGCAAAAGATTAAAGAAGAAGAAGAATCAAGTTTTTGCTAAGAGAAAACTGGAATGGGGCCTGGAAAAGAAAAAAAATTGTTAATCACATTGATTCATCACTCATACGTGAATTTCCTAAATTTGGATAATATCTTTTAGATGTTGAACCTTTTTGATCTGAAACACACTTCAAAATGATCAATGTCATTCTCTACTTATTGCAGCGCTTGAAATAGATTCCAAAAATGGCATACCTTTGATTGAACCAGAATTTAGCAACGCATCAATAATAGCAGTGTATGCGATCCGATCAATAGACAAGTCACAAGATGATTTCATTTCTGACACAATCTTCCCAACTGAAAGAAGATTCTTGGCATCCCCAAAACCCTACAGAAGGATAATTAGCTGCAATTAACAGTGATATAAAACGGCAGTTTAAAGGAAAAACTGAGTCTAGGAAGTAATTAATAGAACAACAGCCAGTAAAAATGAAAGGGAGGGAATAGTTGACTCAGCAAACTAAAAGCAATCTGTGTGAAATGCAAGTTATGTCATTAATTTTTTCAACAGCAAGCAAGCATAGAGGTATTATTTATATGAGATGAAACTCTAGGGAACATACAGATTGATTGCCTGTATCCTAATTTGCTAACAGAAAGCAGTGCTATTTGGAAACTCATTCATAAATTGTTTGACTGACACAGTTTTAGACCTATCGCATACAAATAAATCAATGCCCGGGTAACCTTTAGCAATGTAGTGTATGTGACAACATCTGGGAAAAGATCATCATGCCCAACTTTCTGAGCTTGGACCTGCAACAATCACAAGTGCAATATATTAAGCAAACTGGGAAGTTCTTATATGCCATCTAAGCCAATAATCAGGCTCTAAACTGGCCCTTGAAGTTGAAGTGCATGCATGATACCTTCATTTCCTCAAAAAAACGCATTGCAGCATCCAATTTTTCAGTCTTGACACATGCAAAGATCAGAGTATTATATGTGAGCTTATCAGGTATCATTCCCTGCTGTTGAATTTCATCGTACACACCTAATGCTGCCAGAGGACAACCGGAGCTTATATAACCCTGAAAGTTGGAGTGTCCATAAAAAAAGTGACATTTGTTAGCTATTTTGTGCTTACTTAGCACAATATGATCTGTAACTTTAAATTCTACAAAAGCCGAAAACAGAACAATAAATAACCACAAAAAACTAAACTTCGTCAGTTTAGTCTTACAACACAGTAGCACAACACCTTCATTAGTAAGTTGTAAAACAATATTGACGGGCTTCCATCTTCATGAAGCACAAAACCATACCGTGCAAGGAGGCCATTAGCACGGCGTAGATCCCCTGCACTAAACATCATAAGTGAGGAGGCACCATCAGCAAGCAAAAAAAAGGAAACTGAGTCAAGTTCTCAACAATATGAGAAGCAACGTATCTCCTTACCATAAATGGACAGTTAAAAATCATAATCAACATTATGCTACTAATTGATTCAATTGACCAATACTATCAGAATTCGAGAACCTAAAATTAGCTAAACAGTAAGGAAAAACAGGCTAAACCTTAAAGCAACACCGTAACCCCTCTATATATCATTAAATGATGAACCAAAAGAGAATCATGCACTTCAAGAAGGGCATTGCAAAGACCACCGCGCTGATTACTGTTTCTTAAAATTTAATTTTTCATACTTCAATCAAGAGCAATGTTATGGACAAAAAAATCAACAGAACTACACACATGTAAGCACAAAAATTGGATTTTTGGTACACATTGCATACATACATAATACATAAGCAATTGGTGCCCATTTTTTATTTTGATTATTCTAAATAATGCTTAGCACAATTATTGGTAACCAAGATTTGGGCGGATAACACGACTCAAATGATCCTTGTCACAGTTATTATGGGGTCCACCATGTGAATCTTGCCATGCTTTATCAAGGGCCATATTTTTTCTTAACCACAAGCTATCATGTCGTTCTACGATATGATACTGTTAATTTTGGTTTACCTACACCCTACATATTTCCTTTGATAGGGATCACATCACTGTTCCTCATCGCAACATTTATATGTATTTATAAACATGTCCAAACCATCTAAAACAATTCCCTCTTAATTTATCTTTTGTCAGTGCTATTCCCCCTAGTTCCCTAATATATTCATTCATAATTTTGTAATTTCTTGTTTTACCGCGCATCCAATTAAACATTATCATTTCCGCTACATTTATACATTGAGCATAGTTGTTTTTAACTGCCCAACACTCTGCACCAAAAAACATCGTTAGCCTAATGAGAACTACAATTCAATATAAGAAGTATACATTGACATAATACATTCGATCCATTCATTCGCTTAGTCTAGCATTTTTTTAATTCTATGATCAAAATCATCTGCAATATCTCCTTCTTGGGGATATTAAATGCAACTATTTTAATTATTTACTCTTTAATATCTCTTATTCTTCAATTTGTATAACCCTTCTCGATTTGAATTTCAAGTTATACTAAAATTACATTCTGCATACTCAATTTATTTTTATTTATTTTAAATCTTTTTGACTAGTGAGTGACTATCTTCAATTAAGATTATATTTGGCATTTCGCAGTATTTGATAACAAGCAAGAAAATAGGCATAAAAATAGTAGAGATATCCTTTGTACAAAAGTCATCTCTTCAACATTAAATTTTTTCCTTTTTTTTTAACATGTGAACCCACAGTTGAACCAACCACATCCCATATCTTACCTAATTGTCCAAAAAAAATGTAGATAAATAATTGCAAATATAAAATGATTATTGTATTATTTAAGTACAAAGAGAGGGTTAGTTAGACATAATTCTTTGTAATTTGGGCTGGTTCCACATTTCCCTTCTCAACTTTCACTTGTGATACTAAACCCCCATAACTGATGACTAACAACTTAAGAGTATGTGTAAAATTTCTAAAATCCCCTTCATTTGTTGTTCAATTTTATTTGCAACACTTTCTCTTTACAATCTCTCTAACCATCCACCATAAGGCCGCCAAGTACACATGCACACATATATCGCATATGCATGTAGATGTATATCAGTAAATATCAATGCAACTTATACATTGCAGAGAAACAATGAAATGTAAAGTTACAAAAATCCAAACACTCATTTTCAGCCTGGACCTATCAAGTAACTGCAGATGAAATATACACATGTTGGGACATAAAAAAATTAAAAGAATCTCTATGTACAAAAAATGAACTATCCAATTTACAAATTCATAATTGACCCCAAAAAAAAATTTCTAGAATCATAAATTTGACAAATTTCATCATAATATCAGCTGCCAAATTTACATTTTCACAAATTCCAATCTGTGCAATTAATTAATAAGCTAATACAAAATTTCTCAACTCAACCAATATGAGCAATTACCAACGACCGGTGGTTCCTTTAAGGAAAATAAGAGTGTGGTCCTATACAGGCAGGTGATTAACTCATGGGGTGGACCAGTGTTGTGAAAAGCAAAGCGAGATGACCCTATGTCGCCTTGAACATGACTGGCAAAGCGAACGTGGACAAGACGAGAGAAAAGCAAGTAAAGGCGAAAAAAGTGAATAAGCATCACTTTAGTACTCTTTTTAATTTTATATCTTAAACTATTACACGTCGTTGGATTGATGCAATTGGATCAAAAATTAGATATGTCAACTTTAGCCAATTGAGCCTCATTTATATATATGTAAACTAACCCTAATCACCACATTTATTTGAGCCAACAAATAGCAGGAAACCTCTTCTCCTCTTCTTACGCCACTCACAAGAACGTATATCTCTTTTCCTCCTCTTCTTCTCTGACTGACCGACTTGCGACACTCACCAAGAAAGCCCACTACAACATGCTGCTCTAGCCCTGCATTAGGCTAAGACAGACGCCAAAGGTATGTCTATGTCCTCTTCTTCTTCTCCTCCTCCTCCTCCTCCTCCTCTTCGTCTTTCTCTTCCTCTTCCTCTTCTAATTCTTCCCATCTTCTAATTTTCTGGTTGTGCTAGAACCATCTCCTCTTCTTCTACTCTGTTTTTGTTTTTCTTTTCTTGTGTTCCTATGATTCTAATGCTGCTTCTCCTCTTCTACTCTATTTCTGTTTTTTCTTTTTTTCGTTGTGTTGCTTTGATGTTGATGTTGATTCTGCTTCCTCTCTTTTATTCCATTTTATGTTTATACTTTTTTTTTTAAAACACCTATTTAGATGCTTTCAAAAACAAGGCAAAAATGAAAACACGCGCGTCCCTCAAGCCTCAATTAATGAGGTCTTGTCTTTGAACCCCATTAACAGCATAAAAGATATTCTTATTGTTCCAAGTATAAAAGGACCTTTTTTTAACTTTTTTTTGCTTCTCTTATTGTCTGTCCCCCGTGTTTCCCTCATTCAATCATCTCTCTTGCGAAGCTCCAACAAAGGAAAGCTCCAAGCGAAAGAAGCTACGGCGAAGGAAGCTCCAGTCTTTCCATCTCCATCTCCATCGATCTCTTTCTCTTTCTCTCTCTAACCCCTCTGTGAAATTTGTTTTTTAAAGTTTGTGTTTGTTATATACATAGATCTATGAGATCTATGTATATATATGCATATATAATCCTAATTGTGGATTTCGGTGGCTGTTAATGGTGGATTTTGGTGGTTGTGGTGGTGAATTTAGGTGGTTGTGATGATGGGTTTCAGTGGTGGGATTTCGGTGGTGGGGGGGGTGGGTTTCGGTGGTTGTGGTGGTGGGTTTCAGTGGTGGGGGTGAATTGTGGGTTTCGATGGTGGGGTTGGGGGTGGGTTTCGGTGGTGGTTTTGGGTGGTCAGTACGGTTGGATGGTGGGGTTTGGATGGTGAAATTTTGGTATAATACCAAAGAAAATTTTTATTTTTGGTTTATAATTTTCTAAATATAAATCACTACCAAACATGTTTTATATTTTTAATTTTTATCACAAAAAAAGCAAAATTTAGTTTAATTTTTTTTATAAAAAAGAACACAAAAATGAAAACATTACCAAATGCTACCTAAAAATTTGAACAGGCAAGTAATGGCGCATTTGGTAGCAGAACCCACCAACATATGGAACAAGAGTAATGGGGATGATAGAATTGAACCTCACAATTATATTTGCCAGTATAGTGATGTACCTCATCAATGAATATTACAGATGGCTGCCTCGAAATAGCAACCATGAAAAGAGTCCGGACAAGCTTTTCACCTTCTCCTACCTTTCATTTCAAAAGAAATGTGTAAGAAGTCCAACCATCACTGGTAAATATCATATAAAAACCGCTATAGGACAAGCACAAAAGGAAACTTAAGGAATTCTGTAGACACACCCACTTCGATGTTAGGGAAGAAGCAGAAACATTAAAAAATGTTGCCTCTGACTCTGAAGCAACTGCTTTGGCAAGCATGGTCTTCCCGGTACCAGGTGGTCCAAACAGAAGCAGACCTGAAAAATAGAAACCACATCTTTTCAGGTGACAAGTTCTTTTAGAACTATAACTCCATTCCTTTGAACATAGAATTCTCCAAAAACTAATACCTCTAGCTGGCCTACGAATACCAGTAAATAGATCTCTTCTTTTANGAAAACGTTACCAAACGCTACCTTAGACTGATTCTATTGTTTTTATTTCTAGACTGCTCTGGTTTAATTCTATTACTTTATTATGCTTAGTTCAATTGCTTCCCGCGAAAATGACTGATTTAGTAGAAAACCATATAATTTTTGTTGTTACTGCCTATTTGTCACGGAAATGATTTCATCTGTGATGATTGAGTACTAATAACCAAACTTTTTTTTTGGTAGAGGTGTAAATTTGCAGAATACTACCATAAATGATGGTTTTTTAAAATTTAAATGTTTACGGTTTTGGTTGAATTAAAATATTGAGTATTTGTAAAGTTGGAACTTGGATATTTAGAAGTAATTAAACTAAAATATTTGCTCTTTTTTTAATTGTTCGCTTCGGTTAAGCGCTCACTTCGCCTCTCACTTCTCGTCTAGTCCTCATGAGACTTGTCCACTTTGGTCCACTTTACATATTAAATAACACCGGAATGGAGTGTAGTATGTGGGTTTGTATCTGTACTCCGTCTTCCGAACCAGTTCTTAATTTGTCATTGCGAATTGAGCATTGACTTTGAGATTAAATGGTGGAGGCAGGTGATTTCCAAAGCCATGAGCTGTGAATTTTTTAATTTTTTCTGAATCTGATTTTTTTATCTTCTAAATTCTTTACCTGGATGGTGGTGGTGATGTGGCTTATCATGGTAGGTACCAGAGATGGGGCTATAGAGGATGAAAAAGGAATGACGAAGCAAAAAGAAAAAGGTGAGGAAAAACAACAAAGGTAAAATGATATTTTACATGAGAAAAATGCCAACCAAACAAGACTTCAAATGCACGTCCAATATTCCTATAGTTATGTTAAAGGAAAATGTAACAGTTCCATTTTAGTCATTGAAGTATTTACTACATTCACTTCTTATAACACCCAAAGTTCCATATTTTATTCTTTGCTCAAAATAATTTGAAATCATATTATGTTGAAAAGGGTCTAAAAATGGAATCTTAGCAATCAAAGGTTGAAATTGATTAGAATGTCACACTGAAATTTCAAAATTTCTCAACACCAAAGAAAAATTAAATATTTTTAATTCTAATTTGAAAATTAAGGTTTAAGCATCACTTTTTGCTTCCAATAACCATTGACTCCAACAGGATCTAAAGGTTAGCATCGGCCAACAAAATACCACAACCACTTTCACTACATTTTGAATTCCATAAGCCAAATTCGTTCCAATCGCCATGTTGAGTACTATAATGATGCAAGATATAGAAACACTAACTTTTTTTTGGGTAAGTAAACACTAACTTGTATGCCAAAACAACTACATTCTGACACTATTACTATGCTACTCCAGACAGTTTAAATTTGAACCACATATAGACTTGAAATCCACTATCAAATCGGTGGCACTTTTACAAATATAACAGAAGAACCATATTTTGCTATATCTACAAACTTAACCTGCTTCAATAAGAGAATTCAGCAAGCCATAAATAATTGGTGCTGACAACTTTGGATTTCCTGCAGCGGTACCTCTTTCCACAGATTCAAGGATTTGAAATGCTTCATCAATTCTCCGAGCATCACCCAAACCCTTTCAGATTTTAAAATAAGCCAATCACAGTTGAAGATGGATGAATGGTTTTACTAGATATAGCAGAGACTGAATTACACTACCACACAAAAGTCGAAGCAGAATATTGAAATTAAAATTTGCCAAATTGCTATAGAAGGCCTGACTGATTGCTCACCAGTCACCTAGTCATCAACAAAATCACCCAGTTCACATCTCAGAAACCTTTTCGAATATGCATAGAATTATAACCACTAGAACAGTCAACAAATAAACATATACACAGATTTTTACCACGTGATCATAGAAAAGAAAGTCGAATTAAATTCAATTCAACTCAGAAGCCAAAAATATTAATAAAACATTCAACTGAAACAACCAAGTAAGCATAAAATCAATTATAACATACTCAACTCAGGTCGACATAACAAAGCCTTGTCCAATTACTTACAGTTGGTTGCATGAACCATATTATGTCATACCAATGTATCCGAAGCCATGTTTTCTATCAAACCAAAACCTATCATATATTTGTACTGTTTCAATTCATGTTAATTACAATCTTAGTCTAACTCTGGCATTGTCATCAATGAGGGTCACATCACCCTAACTCACAGACCCAATTGTATGCCTTTGCTACACTTTCTGTCAAAACTGTCTAACCTAGAACATAATGGAGTTTATTTAATTCATGGAGATTTTTTCTTGTCATTCGAAAAACAGGTTCCCACATCAAGTACTCCTAAGACTCCACCGGTCAAAAAGAAGCTTGCAAAAGGAATTAGCTGGCAATCACTTCCAAATAAGTTAAGAATTATTAGACTATGGCAATAGCCAAGCTTAAGGCAAACTAGAAATGTCTGAGTAAAAGTTATAGCTTGAAAATGGATTAATGCTAGTCAATTTCTTTTCTCAATTTATGTCTTACTGATATTAGGTGTATCACAACTGTGATAAATTTCTGTTTAATCCTTTCATTCCACACATCATCCATGTTGACATTCTCATTTTCACCATGCTTTTTTTCTTCTCGTGTTTATTATCTGACCAGCATTCTGTCCAAAACCAATGCCCTAGCATAATTCCAAAAAATCCTACACATAGTAGAAATGATGCTTATATCCAATTCTCATACACATATTATCAGTTAATTATTCTCTTGTCCACATGAAACCCATTCATAAAGAATCGAACAGAACTCCCAAATGAATATTCCAAGTACCTTCACCAATGTGCCATATGTAACATTGTCAACACCACAGCTCTCCAGCTTCGACATTTCTTCAAAGACCCTAAGAGCAGAATCTATGTCCCCGCAATGAACACAACCCTGCATTACTGCGTTCATCACAATCGTATTCAACTGCCCATACAATTTTTTGGCTTTCTCAACTTCCTCAAAAATCTAAAACAACAAAACAAAATACCCACAAAATATTCAAACCAACTTCACATTGAAGCTCGAAATTTATTGAAAAATAATCGAAATAGACCTGAAGCAGTTGTCGTCTGCGAGTGAGTTCGACGATGCGAGAAGTGAGACGTTTGAGACTCGGTTTCGAAGGTTCCTTTAGGATTTTGCGCGGAAAGAACTTTCTAAGCCGACGGCTACTGATCGGAGGAGGAGAAGAAGAGAAAGAGATTATGTTCAATGGGTTTACTATTGTATGGTAAAATCTGGGACAGAGAGTTACGGGTCGATGAAACGGAGATAAGGGTTGAATTTGCTGCATCTTTGGGTTTTGATGCAGCTAACCCATCACCCATATACAGTCTAGAAGAGATTTGATGCTTCAATTTCGCATCAATTTATCAGTACTGTAGTGTCCAAGTAGTGTGCGTGATAGTGTGTTTTGATAGAGAGGAACAGGATAATGTGAAGGACAAATGGACAATTCGCCCACAAGGAATCCGCCCTGTAATCTGGAGGTTTTCTTTGTGGGGGTCCTAATCCGAAGGTTTTTCGTTTGTCTTTATGGCGGCCATTATTATTTCAAAAAGTTCACCTGATATTTGGCAGGGCGAATTGCACCACACAGAATGATTTTAAGTTTTTTATTGGATTTATTGTACCAGAGTTTAATTGATTTGTTTCATGTTGATTTTTAATATTTTAATTATATCATTTTAATTTTTTAAATATTAAATATATTTTTATGTGATCTTTCAAACAAATAACGTCTAGATTATTAACAATTTTTTATTATATAAACTTATCATATAATACCTAAATATGGAAAAAAAATAATTTTGACAACTATTAAACAAAATGTAGATAGCTCTTGACAAAAAAAAATGTATAATATGGGTAGCTTTTGATCAAAATTTGGATAAGTCATGATCAAAACTATATAATTTAGGTAACTATTTTACCGAAATTTGAGTAAATAATTTTGACAGCTCTTATCCAAATTATGTTTTTGTTCTTATTTAAGTATAAAGGGATAAATTTATGATAAAAATTTGTTAGCAATCTGGATGTTGTCTGATAGATGGACCATATAAAAACATATTCAATATTTTAGGATCCAAAATAATGCAACTGAAACATTGGGGATCAAAATTGGACAAAATCCATACTTTTGGGACCTACAGTGCAATTAACCATTTTTTATTTTATATCTTTAAAAATTAAAATTTTTATATTACATCTTTAATATATGAAAAAATTTCAATTATACTCATTCTAGTTTACCATATCTTTAAGAACACTCCCTCTATTATCAAAAACATCACTGACATTTTTTCTAATTTATATTTAAACATCACTCACACACCTTGTCATTAAATCACCATTTATAACAAAAATAATTATTTAAAATACCAAAATTATCCCTATATAAACCTCAAATAATCTTTCTACTTAAAATTTGATTAAAATTCATTTTTTTACATATTAAAATTTGAACTAATTAAAAAAAAATTACATATTAAAATTTGAGTCGATCAAAATTCGATTCGAATTAATTAAATTTTATTTTTTTACATATTAAAATTCGAACCTATTAAAAATATTTTTTTAAGTTTTAAAATTTAAGTTGATTTGAACTCTACTTGAGTTGTTAGCCTCAATTAAAATTATCTTCGAGCCGATTAAAATTTATATTTTTTTATTTATTAAAATTCAATTAATTTAATTAAAATTTATTTTATATGTTAAAATTTGAGTTGATTAAATTTTATATTTTTTTATGTATTTTAATGCGAATTGATTAAAATTTCATTTGAGCCTCAAATAGAATTTTAATAGGCTAAAATTTTAATAAGAAAAAAATATAATTTTTAATCGACTAAAATTTTAATACGCAAAAATAGAGAGTGTTTCATTGAAGATGTGTCTATTTATTAAGGATGTGAATAAAATTTTTCGTAAAATATATCATGTGCAATTTAGTAAAATTGCATTCTAATTAACAAATTTAATTTAATAGGGGGTGTCAGTAAAGATTTAAAAAATAGAGGGGATTTCTTTAAAAATATGATAAACTAAAAGAAGTGTGGCTGAAATTTTTTCTTAATATATTAAAAGCATTGAAATGTGACATTTTTGTTAGTTTTTCGTTAATTTTTTTGCCAATATCAATGAGTTGACTTTTAATAGAAAAAATAATAGAAGCTAACAGAAAGGTCAAATTGCAATACTTTTGATACATTAAAGATGCAATGCAAGAAATTTAATCTTTGAAGGTACGAAGTGAAAAACTTAAAATCCTTCAGGATACAAAATACAAAAAACCCCATATTGGAAAATTGCGAATTGCTAATAAAGTTTTTTTTTTGTATGAGTTCGCCCTCCTCTCAATTACCATCCTTTTAATTCTTACTATCTTATATTTTTTTTCCCAATATACCATTATTTACATAAAAAAAATATATAAGTTTGATTTATGTTTTTTTATTATAAGTGTGTTTGTGTATGTTCCTTATCAAACCTGAATAAATCAGAAGGGTTGTGTTAAGTATCTATAGTCAATATAAAACTCGTGAAATCAAATATGAATTTAAAATCTGATGATACCATAAATTACCACTCAGATTAATTCATTACAACCCAATATTACGAAGCTCAACTAAACTGACCTGATTCGGGTCATCCAGCACAAGTATTTCAACTCCCAGATCACCAAGTGATATCCAAGCAACTCGGCTACAATCATGCCAGCTCGGATCTAGTTATTACAAGAAGAAGAAAAGCTTAATAAGTCAATCCTACCTTGGGAAGCAAGCTAACACCTCAAGAATGCCACCTCACTGCTTTTAGAAGCCTACGTGGACATCGGTTAGGATTTTCTCTAATGGTCAAATTTTTCCCAAATAATTCCAACATATCGAAGGGTCCACACAATCTTGAATAAGGGGAAAAAAAAAAACCTTTGCTTATATAAATAAGAAAGACCCCATATTGAAAATAGGATTAAACCCTCTATAATCATTTTGTTCTTGAGGAGCAGGAGACTTCATTCACAGTGGACTAGCCGAGCTGTTTAGCTTGGTAAACCACTTAAACTTTGTCCATTCCATTGGCTTTTGGTGAATCATACAAGCCATTTACACATATCATAACTATGCACGCATTACACTCAAATTCCTCTATTTCTTGCACCATCAATTTGGCACCATCTGTGATAACGATTGCCATCGTTCTACTCTGAAATCATCTTTTTCTGTATTTGGTTGATGACCTTGACCAGAAGTATGAGTCAAAACCCTGAAAATCAACAGAGGATTCCTTTAATGGTTCCTCCTACAAACCCACCTCCGGTGGAGGAATCAGAGACTTATCAAGAAACCATGCTACATTTTCTCAGGCAAAATCAGCAAATCATCACCGTTCTCATTGTCCAGCAACCTCAACCTCCTCAAAATCCACCTCCTTCAACCACTCTTAATGGACTGATAGAAGAAGACCATCGGAGCCATTCGGGTAGGAACGTTCACCATTGTCAAGCTCAAGGAGAACATGACAATGAGGCTCATAGCAAAGCTGGGAAGGAGAGAAGGCAAAATCTTCAACCTCAACCCATGTAGAATCCCTTGAACCAATACTAGGAAGAAAGAATAAAGGAAGTCCAGAACGAGCCTAGGAATGTGAAGAATAGAACCCTAGTGTCAAGGGAGGTTCTGGTCCAACAGATAGAGTCTCCTTTTATGCGTGAGATGCAACAGTTCCCTCTTTCTACCAAGTTCAAGATGCCCCATGTTGAAGCCTTTGATGGAACCCAAGACTTATTTGATCATCTTAAAACCTATAAAAATTAGATGGAGTTGCATGGGTACCAAGACCCAAACTAGTGCAGAGCTTGTGCCATCACTCTAAAGGCTTTGCATTGGCCCGATACAAATATGTTACCTCCAACCTCGATTTCTTCCTTTAAAGAACTGTCCATGAAATTTGTCTCTCATTTCATCAGTGTGAAGACCCACCTCCAACTGACCTCCTACCTTCTTAGCATTAAGTAGAAACCAAATGGGTCACTTAGGAAGTACGTGCATCGATTCAACTAGGAATCTCTTCAAGTTGACAGCCTGGACGATAAGGTGGCCTTAACAAAATTCATAGCTAGGCTCCAATCATTCGACTTCCTATTCTTAGTCTTTAAGAATCCTCACACCAACATGACTGAGGTGTTAGCCAAAGCAGAGCAGTACATCAATGGGGGACAAAAAAAGGAAAAAATCTAATTCTAAGAAGAATCGAGATCGATTTCCCAAAAAGACGGGAGATGTGTAAGATTTGTTAGCACCCCCAAAGCTAGACTTCTAGATGCAATTTGCCCCAGAACAGTTCATGCCCTTGAATGCTTCATTAGCCCAGATATTACATCAAGTTCAACATGAGAAGTAAATGAAATAGACCTCAAGGATGAGGTTCGACCCTTGAAAGAGGGATATGAACAAGTTATGTTGTTTCCACAAGGACCATGATCACAACACTGATGACTACGTCCAGGTGAAGAAGGAAATTGAATTCCTTATTTAGAAGGGTTACCTGGGAAGGTTCATGGCACGAGAAGGAGGCCACCAAGCTACAAACACTCAAGAGTTGCCCCAAGCTAGACCATAGTAACCATAACATTAGCAGCCTCTCAGGAAAATTCACATCATCTCTGGCAGCTTTGCTGGATGGGGCGAGTTTAGGTCTGCTAGGACAACATACGTACAAAAAGCCCAATTTGAAGATTTCTCCGAGGTCCGTGTTGTGCACAAAGTCCCACACCTTGATATGGAGATAACTTTTTCAGACGCCGACCTGGAGAGATGCTAACTTCCTCATGATGATCCTTTTGTGGTTAAAGCCCATCATCGGCAACAAAAATGTCCATCGAGTTCTAGTTTACAATGGAAGCTCTGCTGATATTATCTTCTCAAACACGTTCAACCAACTCGGCATCAGCAAAGAACAGTTCTTACCTGTCAAAACACATTTAGTGGGTTATATCAAATCATTTCAAAATAAAGAAATTTTTTTCTTTTTTTAAGTCCAATATGTGACGGCATATATGGTAGAATCGTAACCATAGAATGCGACCCAAATCGAAATCCATACATTTGTCTCATACACTATGCCTCACAATTCTATATAATCCATTTATAATAGAAGTTCTCAAAGAATTCATTAGAGGGATGTTTCTAATAAAAATTATTTGTTCTTACATATCCCTACTAGTTACCCCAAGTAGATGAAGACCCTCAGCATGTGGTCTTTATGGGCTCTAGATTGGTGGACGACATTAAAGAAAAGCTCATCACCCTCTTAAAAAGTAGTTATGATGTCTTCGCTTGGAAACAGGAAGACATGAAAGGAATATATCTAAAGGTAATAGTTCGCAGACTAAGTATGGATCCCAATTGTAGGCCAGTGAAACAAATGAGGCAGAGTTTTGTCCCAAAAAGACAATGGTCTATAAATGAGGTGACAGCAAAGCTCCTCAGTGCCAAGCCATCAAGGAGGTT